TGTGTGTATACAGATATGGACATACATCCTCAACAATGCAAATGCATTAAATGTTACATTCAAATGAAATATGTTGTTTGAGCATAAACATATGGAAGTTTTGTTTTGACACTCAGAAAGAAAGTATCATAGTTTTCCAAAAAGTATATGATCATTCAATTATTACAGTGATAGTATAAGCCGAATGATAGGTCAAGTAAAACTTTTATATTATTCTTTAAACATTTTTAAAGTCTTTTGTTGTTCATATATACTTCACTTTGTTCCCCATGAACTCATGAAATTTCAACTTTCATTTTATTTATTTATTTATTTATTTATTTATTTATGTATTATACTCGCTTGTTTCCTGAAATATCTCTCTCTTTCTCTCTCTCTATATATATGGAGAGAAAAAGATTCTTGATTTTATTTGAAGTTTGTGGCTGTGAAATTACTATAAAAAAATCCTATGCAACAATTTATTGTTTTTACAAAAATTAAGAAAATTAAATCACTTTTATATATAAGAATATTTATGTAAACATTGGTCTTGTTAATTGAGATGTACAAGAAGAAAGAGGTATACCTGCCCTTAATTTAAAAGTTTTGTATAGTAATTGTTAGGGAAAGCTGATTTAACTGAAAGATAAATAGTCATGTAGTTATGATTATTATTATTATTATTATTATTTATTGTATTTTTTCTTTGCTCCAAGTATTTTTACCTACCCACAATGTTGTGGAAAATTTAAGAATTAAAATTACAAAAATAATTCTAAAAACACAATAGAAGAAAGAAAGAGAAGAAGAGGATTAATTCATAAGAAAGGTTCTTTTGATTACTTGGGGTCTGATACTAAAGAGGGTGTTTTGCAGACTTTTCTATCTTAGATAAGTGCCTATTTTTCAACTTTGTTAAGTAAAAAAATTAAAAAAATTAAAAAAATTCAGAATGACTTTGTCATGACATAAATTATTTCGATATATTTTCGATCTTAGAATTTACATTGTTACTATTTGTGCTTTTCGCAAATTTAGTAATTGTTTTATTTTTCGTTGACATTATTCTTCATGTGTTGATTGCCCTGATTTGCCAAATTCGTTATTTATATCTGTTAATATTTCATGGCTTTAAATGGTTCATTTGCAACATGCTTTTATGTGGCCAATTTTCTATGTTACACTAGAGATGAAAGATTTTACCTAATTGGGTTTTTCCCTCAAACCACTATTGCACATAAACTCTTTCAAAGAGGTTTCCAACATTATTTTGGACAACATTTGATGATTTTAAAACCACATTTAATTTCTTGAAGAAAATAATAAAAAAAATCATTTCAATATACATACACAATATTGCAAACTTTGATTTCTTCATGTGTCCCCATTTTTGGCATTGTCACCAACCTAAAAACATTTTTACTTTGCTTAGATTTAATCCTCTATTATTTCTAACATATCTATATATATATTAAACAAGATAAAAATATTGAAAAAAAATACCGAAAATCTAAACGAAGACGCAATCAACAATAAAGAAATGTTAAAAGAACTCACAACCGAGGGGGACAATCCATAAATTCTTGTCACCACACAGCGTCAGTGGCGATTTCTTTCCGCGTCTCCCTTTTGCTTTTTCGATTTCTTCCTGTGCCTTCGTCAACGTCAAGAGTGCGTGTCAGGCTCAGAGTAGTCTCTCAGATCCTTTTTTCCTTTTCTTTCCCCATCCCGTTTCCTTCCTTCCTTTTGACTTTTACCTGTTTACGTTTACTTTTACTTTAACGTCTTCTTCTTCTTCTTCTTCTTCTTCTTCGTGCAATGTCAAGAGTGTGTGTGAGGCGCAGTCTAGTAGCTGACGCCAACGCAGGCGATGGCGAGAGCTGGGCGGCGGTGATCCAGGAGAACCCCACCTGGTGGCCCTCCCTCCATCGCTACCTCGCTCGGTGGATCGCTCGCTGCGTCTTGCAGCTGCAGAAGCAGCCGCAGGAGGAGGAGGAGGAGGAGGAGGAGGAGGGATGGATCACATGCACCAAGGCCCCTTTTTCTGATTCCTGGTCTTGTATCAGGTACACAGCGATGGATGCAGACAGAGCCCCATTCTCCTTTGTACCCACTTGACTCGCACTGCCCCTCTTGTACCTAGCTCTTTCCCCCCTTTGTAGTAACAACAAATCCCAGACCCACTCGTGTTGCTCTTGCCTCACCCCTGTCCCTGCGTGGCTTCCAGCCGGAGCTACATTGTTGTGATGGTCGTTTAGTGAGATGTGTGTGAGTAAAACTTGCAGCCCGTCTGCGAGTCTACGTTTGTTGATTTGAACTGTGGAGGGGTGAAGTGTGGAGGGGGAGCCCACATGTGTAAACCAGGCGTCTAGATAATATGCTCTCCGTGGATGATGTCCAAGTGGAGACATAGAGCGAGGTGGTGATTTCACCGCCTCTTGACAGGGGGGTAAATTCTTAGATCTGTCGTGTGTTGGCAGGCAAATTCTGTCCTGTGGTAGTTAGCGTTTAAAGCAACCCAGCTAGGGTGATTTGCATTGGGTGGTGTTGGCTGCAGCGATAACAGAATCTCGTCTGGAGCAGTGAATGCAAGAATTATTATTGCTTCTTTATGTTTGGAGATCTGTAGCGAAGGGTTTTGTTTTGTTTTGTTTTGTTTGTTTGTTTTTATTTTTATTTTAACATCTTGCTCGCTGAAGCTTGTTTGACCGCCTAGTGTAATGTCGAAGCTAAGTGCACTACTATGTTATATCAGATATGATGACTCCAGAAATATGCCAAGGCTCTGCCCAGTACAACAAAATTTAATACCCTACCTGCAGATTTCACTTCAGACTTGACGCTTAGGGAATGCTGGGCCGCGCGGTGAGAATGGGAAATGCTTCAGGTCAGGTGAGGTCTGAATGACTCAGTCAAAGAAAAGGGGGATGGTCGGCGCTCGCTATGGAAACCAACCCCACTGCCATGGGCGACCCTGTCAGACCTGCAGCAATGCCTCAACGAAGCAAGTACCGCATGCCGTATCATACCCGTGAGTGGCAGTCTGCAAGTCAGCTGCCTGCGTGCCTGCCTACCCTCATTTGGTCCCCATAAAATGATTAATCTCACAAGTTAGCGCAACCCGGAGTTTAGTTTGCATTGCGCTCAATCATCGCACTGCCACGTTTATCATTCTATGCTGCCAGCATCACGGCCTGAGCCTCTGCTGCTTCAGCGCTGTGGATCCTATCTCTCAAGGCTCTGGTAAAGATTAATTGCAATGCAGAGCTCAAAAGACATTTCACAGACATATCAAGAATATAGTCGAAACAGTACTCACTGTAAGTGTTTCTGTGGCACCTCCTTACATTCAGTTCCATCCTTCACCTGCAGTGCTCTGCTGGTGTTGAGCGCATCTTCAAGTGCCGATCTAGAATCGGTTGAGATTGTTCCTGCCTGGAATATTGGTATATAGCTCGATGTCCATACCAGTCAAAGAACCAGGTGGGCGACAACAGTCGGAAGACGAGCATATCCAACGGGAAGCACTGAAGATATCATGTATCGAAGGTATCAACCAACTGTGGAGTGGTCCAATGTGTGGAACCCAGACATTCCTCTCCTTCGGCAACGGAATCCAGGTAACACTCCCGAGCTCTGTCCCTCAACGACAGTCAATTCGAGATGTATGTCTCGGAGAATTTTGTTCAGAAGAACAATAAATCACATGGGCACGTGATTTTTGCAGCTTCAAGTGGAGCTGGCAACCGCGCTGTTCGATTCAAGCCATGCTACGTAATCAACACAACAGCCCAGCTTCGCACTTCGATGTTTCAGCAGGAGTTTCATCGCGTCTCACTGATACCATATTACTTCGCGCCCTCTCTTCTGCCTTCTGCGTTACCCAGTTTTCGTCGGCAGAGAAACAGATATCCTTCCTGTTTGTAATAGTGACAACCATCTCGAAGACTCTAAACAAGAGTTTTTAAGTTACCAAAGACTCTGTTTAGAATTGAAGAATTTCCACTCCGGCACACCATTTAGGACATGAACCGAACTCCTTCAGCACGAATGACTTAAAAGAATGAGTGCGATGCTAGAGTTCAGCATTCTTCGCAAAACCTGGGTGTGAAACCAGGGGTGAGTCCGCATCCCATACCTTCAAATCTCGGGTGCTTTTTGCCATGAGTTGCTCACAAATCAGAACCTACAAAACCTGCTGAGAGTTCAGTGGGATTCAGACGCCGACAAACATTGGATTTGAACTGAATGCAAGGTCAAAGAGTTCATGAGCTCATCGATCATGCTTGCAACAATCTGAACTGATCCTGCAACGATGAAAGATCCAAAAATCTGTCATAGATGGTTATAGATCATTCGACGCTGCTATCTTGAATGGAAATATGACGTGTTTATGAGCTTAGTGGCTGGTAGTTTCCAAACAACCAGCCACTAAGCTCATAAACACGCCATATTTCCATTCAGGTTGATCTCAACTGAAAGATAGAAGAGTGTGTTTTGAGATGAATTACTTACTACTATTTCCTCTAAAATGTTGGAGATTGCTAGTTCATTTCTCAAAAAAAATTGTCTAAGAAAACGTGAACATTTTGTTTATGGGCGTTTATTTCATTTAATTCACTTTAATGTCAAGTTGCTTTTGTTTTCCAAAAGAATTGGCATAATTTTGTTTGATAACAGTTCATGCTGTAAAAGTATGTTGTTTATTAAACCACATCTTCCATTGCTTCATACAGCTGTTAATGCACCTTTTATCAAACACTAAAAATGGTATGGGCCCACATTTCATCAAACCAAATGACAGAAGTTATTCCACTAGATTCCAAGTCAATATTTCAAAGTTGATCTGCAGAGGTCCTGTACAGACCCTTTACACCTTTCAATAAACAGTGAGGTTCAATGGACACCATAAGTTGACTAATGTGGACAAGATTAATTTGCGAGGAATCAGACAAATTCTGGTTATGAAACCAAGGCACATCCAATTCGTGCAAGCACGGCTCGCAAGAGAATTAAAGTAGCTTCTTAAGGGAAAAAAAATTACGCCAGAACCGCAATGTTTACATACTCACTTTTCTGCTAAAGTTCTGAATCGATAAAAGTAAAGTGAGATTTGTCAGAACAGGAAACCCGCAGTCGTGGAGGACTGTGACGTGAGTAACGGATGAAGTAGTCACAAGCTTCTCGGAGGAGAGCGATTAGTTGGCATCTCTCACTGGGAACTGGACAGCTGCATTAACATGCATCTCGGATCGCATGGATTCCAAGGTAACCAAGTTGGAGAAACTCCCGGAGATTCAAACGCTTCGATGAATCCCCATGCTGTGGCAGGACGAATCGAAAGGGAGAAGAAAGAAGGGGAAAAAAAAAAAGAAAAAAAAGAAAAAAAATCTAGAATTTCAATGAACAGCCCTTCATGACATGGTTGTTTTTCTATGAGGTATGAATGTGGGCCACAATCATACCTACCCCGTCCTCTGCTCCCTTCTTTGGGATCTCTGGCAAATCATACACTCATCTTTTTCTGTTCAAGGCCCTCTCTGTAGTCTCAAAATGTAACTTGAGCCCAACAAATACAACCACCCGTCGTCTTCCTATTCTTCACTAGGCTACTAATAGAACACTAGCTGGACAAGGCACTGCCTCTGCACAACTAGTGCTCCCATTCTTGAATACCAACGCTATCCACACGGCCTTTTTATGTCCTGCTTACATCTCACAAAATTACATGAAGTTGTTTAAAATCGGAAGTCTGGCTCAACCTCCATAGCCCAGGCAAACTTGGAAAGCAAAGACTTGTTAAATATTTTCTCAATGGGTACCTCATGACGCTTACACCAAGCCACAGTAATACGAGGATCCATATAGTTGATCTTTGAGGTGCCCAAAGCCACAGTCTTGAGATCATCTTTAACCCTCATGTCTAACCTCATCTTGTCTATCTTTTGTGTTGTAGATGCAATCTTCTTTTCAAGAGCCTCGGGAGTCTGATTTCTCTTGACCTTTCCCTCAGAATCTTTCAAAGGAGGCTTACCTCTCTTTGCCCTATCCAAATCCGTCTCCAATTCTTCCAGCTGCTCTTCCAACTCCTGCATCTTTAGTTCCAATCTCTCCATCTGAGCGCTATGGCCCTTTGACACAGACCGTTGATGATTACACAGAATAGCCACCTCTTTGTTGGCACGCTGATAATCTGCAATAATTTCAATTGTGGTTTCTCCACGGGTATCCTGCAGCAAGGTGTCAAGCGTGATGGAAGCATTGTATGTACGAAACACCTTAGCAGTGAGACCCGGCATTATCCCCTTCAAATGCAAGTTCAGCTTCGTCGTATCTAATCTCTCGAACAGGTCATCCCCCCCTTTCTTTCCCTTCTTAAACTGACCTATAGCTTTGTACACCCGCTCATCAACCTCCACTGTGTTGAAATACCGGATTGAATCCTTTCCCAGAAAATCAAATTGAAGAGATTTGGGTGCAATTAGGCTAACGTGTTCTACTTTGAGGGAGCAGCAACCCACTGTGTCAGCCTCATCTTCGTCCTTCTCGTTACCAGCACGAAGGGCAAGGCGATCAATAAGATACGTTGCTACAGCAATCTGCTGCTTGGTAGGGTCTGAAGATGAGAAGTCCTTGGTGTAAGTCCTTCGGATGTTATCAATATAGTCTTTGAGCGTACGCGCCTTCTCGTACTTTAGCATATCACTTTGGCCTTTCAAGCTACTGCTGGCAGCTAAAAATACGTACTTGAATTCTTTGTCATTGATTGGGTCCTTCCAGTAAGCGAGCCATGTCACTGTATTGTCATGTCGAACCTCCTTCCACTTTTGCCCAGGAATTGGACACTCTGGCACAGGTGCGTCTTTCCCAATATTGATCACAATATCATGCGGCAGAATCCTCGTCTTCAACTTCCCCATCTTGGGATGATCCCCACGGCCACGGAACAAGCCAGGAGGCTCCACCCTAAAGTTTCCGACCTTCTCCTTCACGCCGTCAACAACCGCCCACATGTACTTCTCCTCCGCAGCGAGCTTCTCTTCTTTCAACCTTTTCTTCTCCTCTGCCGACATGTTCTTCTTTCTCTCCTTCTCTCTCGCATGCCACTGAAAGATGGGAGTAAAATCACAAAGCTCGAACTTTTTAATCACGTGATTTTTCCCTAGGTAAGGTTTCCAATCATCCCAGAAGTTTTTGACAAACCTTTCCTTTTTCGCGTAATCGGTCTCGATCATCACAGCAAACATGGTTGCAATCTCCTCTTGCGCAGGCGTGAGATCCACCGGCTTTCGGTCGTACAACATCTTCACGCCATGAGGTTCATAAGGAGGGGGGAAGATGACACCGTTATGTTCTAAAGTTGTCCACTTAACACCATCACCACTTGCAGGCTCGATCTTTTTACTCTTAGTGGTCGTCCTCGTGATGATCTTCTTCTTAATAACCATCCTCTGAGCCTGCAATCTCTTCACTTTTTTCTTCTCCAAAAGCTTTCTAGCCGCTATTGCAGTGGTCCCTGTACTGGACGACGCTTTAGCCTTCTGCTGCACGACCTTCTTAATGAGACTGGTTGAGGACGCCAATCGTTGAGCAAGAGGGATATCATCTTCATCATCGTCTCCGTCAACTTCCATTTTACTATCAGGCTTTCCAAGAGATTGCGGAATAACAACAATTTTGGGGGTTTTCATAGATAGTGAAGGAGTAGAAGGTTTGCTCTGTAATGATGCTGCCTTAACGACTGCTGGTTCCGTCCTCGGCAGCGAATCCTTCCGCTCAGAAGTCCTTAAACCTAGAGGTAAGCGCGCTGCCAAGGGCTTGTCGTCATCCGAATCGTCGTCTGCGGTGCTTAGAGCTACTTCTTTCTGGACGCGGTGAGCAAGAGGCTTGTCGTCATCATCATCAAATTCATCATGCACTAGCGGCTGCAGAGCCTTAGCCTTGTCTGCCATTCTTTCATCCTTGATGGAGGCAGCAATATCTTTCTCACCCTTCACAATATGAGACCCCTTCACGACTTTACCTTTGGCAGCGACGGGCAATCGACTAGCCAGGGGCATATCATCATCCGAATCATCGTCGTCCATGACAAACTTCCGAGCAGGAGGTTTTGCTGCCAATCCACTCTTGCGACGCTCTAATGACCGACGATCACCATCCCTCGGAGAACTCTCCCTAGTCCGTCCTCCCCCACCTCCAGACTTGGAACTCCCGGCAGTGCTAGCGCCATTCTGCCCATCATCAAGCCTCTGCCGTTTCGCCGCCTGCGTCATTTCGTCATCTTCTCCCATCTCAGAAAAAGCGCCTCGCAGTTCGCTCCCTCTCAATTACCCGCCCCTCGCCTCAACGTGTCCTGTTACAAACCGCGCCTGTCCCCGACACCATGTACCATTGAGAAAGAACCCAAGACCCGTCACAGAGTGTCAAATTCCCAATGACACACACGTCGTCGACAATCCTCGCGTTAGCTCTCCAAACAGCCACATCCAGCAACATTCCCAAGCGCACAACCCTCCACCATCAACAAACATGGAACCTTCCGCTTCATCCCCTTCCGTTCACGCTTACCCTAATTCCCAAACCCCCCAACCCACCAAAAATTTCCCAGCACTCCTGCCGCTACGTAGCAATTGGCAAATACGCATGAACCCTACACTCCGGAATTAACCCTGGGTGCCGGAACCCACCAAAACCCACCACCCTCAAACCCTAAAAAACACACACCTCGACGCCGAGCTCCCCTGGAATCACGACGAGCACAAACAAATAAACAAACAAACACACACACACACACACAAGACCGCTTCTTCACACTCTCCCCGAATCCCGAATGGCAACGACCCACTACTATCACCACCAACACCACAGAGCTCCAATCACCCCCAAAAAGGGGCGTAAGCAGGGGAGCCTTGGCTATGGCGGAGGGAGATGGGGAATGGAGCATGAGCCCTGATGATTTCGGACTGTAAAGCAGACTGCAAACCAAATTGCAGCCCCTCTGGAATCAATCATTCCAGCGCTTCAAATGAGATTCTGGATTGCGTTCCGCGAAGTCACGGCGCATCTCGCGACGCGAAACCCTTCGATTACAACTCTTCGTCTGATGGTCTTGGATGTACCCCATAGAGGGCGACTATTGCTCATTTAGTTTGGTCAACGGTTCGAATCCTTCGCTAGTGAAAAGCTTTATATGGATATATATATATATATATATATATATATGTAAATCTTTCTTCCTTGTGGTTAAAATAACTTGTTGTAGGTCGAGAGCTTTCAAAACATTCAAACCGAAACATTTTGATACTTAAATCAAGTTAAACAAGTTTTTCAAACAAGTTAAATCAAGTCTTTCAAACAAGTTTTTACTTCTCAAGGTTGTTGCTATTTTCTCAAGGTATTTACTTTTTACTTTTAGAAAGATGTTAAAAATTTAAAAATTTAAAAATTTAAAAACCTTGAGAAAATAGCAAAGGAAATTCAATTTACAAATAATGCTTCTTTCAAGGTGATTAAAAAAATCATACAATTACAAACTATTTTATACAATGAATTCAATTTATTTGATAAACTAAAGCACTATTTTTTATATCATGCAAGGAAAATGTTATAAAATTTTATTGTTTAAACAAAAGCATAATTGTGCAAGTATACGTGCTTTTATTATCTAACAAATGAAAATATATGTTAATTGAGATTGTAAAAGAGATTTTCAATGTAGACTCTTTCAACACAAGTCTATAATTTAGTTGAACAAACTTATGTAAACAAGTAGTTTATTACCAAAGATCATTTCACTTAGGAATACTTCTTATATTAGCCACATGTTAGCTTTGATAAGTTACAAATATTTAATAATATTTTTTACTTATAATAGCTCTAAATTATTAGCCAAAAATATGGTTTCAATCATATATATACTATTCAAATATATAAAGTTCAATGAATTATATATATATATATTAAATAGACCTATGCTTTTACTAAATAGATCCACCTTTGATGAAGAATATGATAACCATGATGAATGTGATAGATTTTTACTAGTTGTAGATCTAATAATGGAAAAATGAATCCTAAAATCATTATTTTTTTATGATGGTTAGGATGGATGGATAAATTTAATAAAACTATAATCTATTTTATATATATATATAAGGAGTTGTTAAAGCCATATTCCAATTTTGTTTAAGCCACATCTCCCTTGCTATCTCATGGTCTATTTTGTATTTGTTTTATGTCTTTGACCTCATTCCAAGCCACCATGTCCAACTCAATCCTACCTCGTCCTCATCCCACCTAGTTCCATCTCCACTTTGTCTTAAGTTTTCAGTTTTTAGTTATTCATGATAATGACTTTATTCAAATTTTTAAATTTGAGATATTTACTTATTAAATGTTTATTTTTAGTTGGAATAAAAATTTGTAGTAATAAGCATCAAGATAAGAGACATGGTTGGAGTAGGGACTATTAAAGTAAGTCACTTAGTAAAAGGTACTATCTTAGGTAAGTTGATAGTGGTCAAAAGGCAACAAAGAGTATAAAGAAGTTACTATGGTGGCTTCTAGGATTTGTAAGTGGAGGCTAGAGTTTGTAGGTGGTGGCTAGGTTAAGAAAGAATCTAGGGTTTAGTTGGAAGAAGTAGAAATGGATGAAACATCAATAGAAGTTGCCTTGTTGATTAGCAACCACAACCTGTAAGTAACAAGTGTATGAAATAAGAGTTATCTTACTCCATACTCCCTTTTGTGTGCAACCTTATTGATGCTAAGTATTGTGACTTCAAAGTGCTTGTTCTTCAACAGGTTATGGGCCCACACACCTTTAGTTGTGAGTTTTGAAGTTCTTTGAAGTCTTTGTTGGTGTTAAGTGTAGATCTTATGGTTGTTGCTGATGTTAGGATTTGGTATCTTCTAAATCTCCTTTTGTATCTAGTTGTTGATGTAGTTATGCTCTTATTTGTTGTTAAGTGCATTCATAATCTTGGAGGTTGTTAGATACCTTAAATTGATGTTTAATGATACTTTTGTTGTGTTTCTTTGCTGAGTTTCATCATTGGTGCTCTAACTTTGTACTTTTATGTATTAATCTTCTTAAGAAATCCACTTATTGTGATAAGAAGTGCTTTGTGAGGTTAGAAGTGTTTAATGAAATAAGAGAGGTGATTTAAGAGATGCAAAGCTTATTCAAGAGGTTATCACACTTATGAGAAGTCTTTTAAGTAAAGTTGAGAGTGATTGAAGAGTGTAAACAATAGTTTACTCATTAAGAGGGCATTCTGGGTTTCTAAGGCAGCAACATCTTCTTGTTGATTTTGAGAGTTCATTCTTTTCTTTTCTTGATTTTCTTTGATACATCCCTTCTTTAGACATGGCTGCAAGTGAAAGTGAAGGTTTGAGAATAATTGAGAAGTTTAGGGGTAACAACTTCTACTATTGGAAAGAGAAAATGGAGCTCTTGTTGGCTTCATTAGATCTTTGAGACATTGTTGATGAAAGTGAAGACCCTCCAAGTGATGATGCTGATGTGAAGGTGAAGAAGGAGTACAAACGACGTAAAAGGAAGGCTTTTGGCATGATTGCAACAAATCTTGATGATGCCAACTTTTCACATGTAACTGCTTGCACTAGAGCAACGGAAGCATAGAAGATTCTTTGCAACATCTATGAGAGTAGAAACCTTACCAACATTCTATGAACAAGAAGGAAGTTCTTAACAGTAAAGATGGAAGATGGAGATGACCTCATGGCTCATGTGAACAAGATAAAAGCACTTCCAAACCAACTAACAGTTGTTGACACACCAGTTGATGATAGAGAAATTGTGTTGAAATTACTCATGAGCCTTCCCGAGTCCTACAAATACCTCATTGTGGCATTAGAGTCTATCAACATGAAGGAACTTACTATGAAATATGTCACGTTAAGACTTGCCCATGAAGTAACCAAGAGAAAAGAAAAAGAACATCAAAGTGAAGATTCAACTCTATTTTCAAGACAAGGAAAAGGTAGCTATTCTCACCAATGTGATAGTTTAAAGGACAAGATGAAAAATTACTATATTTATAAAAAATCAGGTTACTTTGCTAGGAATTGCTACAAAGTCAAGAAAGAAGATAGAGAGAATGCAAATAATGCTTATAATAACTTTGGTGAAGATGACTATGCTTTCATGGCAAGTAAAAGAGCCTCTATGGCTGCAATGTCTAAGTAGATTATAGATTCAGATGCTACTAAGTACATGACACCATATAAGTATTCATTTGACACTTATGAAGAAATTCCTTGTTGGTGATTCAGGTGCTACTAAGTACACCAGCAACCAAAGTTTGGTTGAGAGATAATAGCATAGTACAAGTCTTTGGAATTGACTCAATTGTTGTGGAAATCGTTGTAAACGACCAAATCAAGAGGATCAGATTGAAGGAAGTCCTACATGTACCAAAGATGAAAAAAAACCTCTTTTCAGTGAGCAAACTTGTATCACATGGTTGTAAGGTTTAATTTGACATGAATGAATGCTTTGTGAAGACAATGGGTAGACAACATATTACCAAAGGCCTTAGAAATGGAAATCTCTACTTCATCAATTGTAAAAAGGTGAATGGAGTTGAAGTGGCTGCATTTACCGATTTTTCACAAGACCAAGACAAGTTTGGAATGTGGCATCAACGACTTGGTCATTTAAATGCCGAATGCATGAAGGAGCTTCAATCCATGGTAAGCAGCTTGGATCTTAGTCATTTCAGCCACAATGCCATGACACTTGCTTGTGAAGGTTGTATACAAGGCAAACAATAAAAGACTTTATTTTTAAATAGAGTTGCAACACATGGAACCAAATTATTAGAGATTTTTTGCATTTTGATGTTTGTGGACCAATGAAGATACCATCAATTGGAGGAGCAAGGTACTTTGTCACATTCATTACGATTTTTCAAGAAAAGTATAGATTTACATCATTAAAGCTAAGAATGAGTACTTTTCAAGGTTTAAGGAGTTTAAAGCTCTTATAGAGAAACAATATGAGTGCAAGATAAAATTATTATGCACAGATAATAGAGGTGAATACATGTCAAAGCATTTTGATGAATTTTTAAAGATTTAAGGTGTTGCAATACAAACCTCTACGCCTTACACTCCACAACAAAATAGAATTGCTGAAAGAATAAATTGCACCATTGTGGAGATGGTAAGAAGTATGCTTCATGCACAACACCTTAGGCATGAGTATTGAGCTGAAGCTGTGATTACTTCAGTGTATACAAAGAATAGGTGCCTTACAAGTGCACTCACATCAATGACTCCACAAGAAGCTTGGAGTCGCAAAAAACCTTGTGTTTCACACATGAAGATCTTTGAATGCATTGCTTATGCAAAAGTACTAGATTGCATGAGATCCAAATTTAATGCAAAGAATACAAAATGTATATTTTTTGGATATTGTGAAGGTACAAAGGTATTCATGCTAATATATTTAGAAACCAAGAAGATCATTAAAAGTCGTGATGTTGAATTTTTGGAACATAAGAGTGCTTTTGAGCACTTGAAGATGTGTCCAAGTAGGAGTAATGGTGTGTTTGTGGACACATCATCAATTTTAGTAAAGAAAGAAGAAGAAGATGATGGTGACAATGAATATGGAAGAAATACAAATCAATGTGAAGTGCCAAAGAAGGTAGACCATAGTATGCTTTCAATTGTTAAAACCAGCAATGAATACAATGAAGATATCAATGATAATGATGATGATGAAGAGTATCAACCTTTAAGTGAAAAAAAACAAGCTTTAAGGAAGAAGAAGCTTAGAAGAGAGCATGAAATACAAGAAGATGAAGCCTCTCGAAATGAAAGAAGATAACCTTTGAGAGAAAAAAAACCACATAGAAGGACCATATTTTTCCTCAAGTAAGTGAAGAACATGCCAATGTTGCTCTTTTTGCTGATCCATTGAGTTTGTATAATGCAATGAAGTCCTTGGATGCTTTGAAGTGGGAGAATGCTATGGAAGAAGAATAAAAATCACTCATGGATAATGGAACATGGGAATTGACTCAACTTCTACCAAATCAATCTTCAATTGATTGTAAGTGGGTGTTTAG